ATATAGGCCACCAAATTTAGACAGAATGGAAGCAAAGCATCTATGGGATGAAATATCTAGGGCATCTAGATCTAACAGTATTTATGTCATGGGTGACTTTAATTTTAGCGGAATAAACTGGTTGAACAAAACAGGGAATAGTGAAGCAGAAGATTTTCTAGAATTAATTGACGATTGCTTTCTTACGCAACACATTAAGGAACCAACACGGGAAAATAATATTTTAGATTTAGTGTTAACTAACAGGGAAACGCAAATTAATGACATCGAAATAGGGAGTGAGCTAGGGAGCAGTGATCACAAAGAAATCAGATTTAGCATAGAATGGAATAGACCAGTAGGAGAAAATTCTGTTAAAGTGCCAGATTTTCGAAAAGCTGATTTTAATAGCCTAAGAAATTTTTTGGGTCAAATTGATTGGAAAGGCTTGGGTATGGGGTGTGGGCCGGTCTTGGAGCGAGACATGAACCCAGCGATAGGTGACTTAAATGGGGATTTCGATGTGGATTCAATATATAACTTATTTAAGAATATTCTAAACAAAGCACAGGAACGTAGTATACCATACAAATTGAATAGATCGTATACTAATGACCCAAAGTGGATAACAAAGAATTTGAAGAACCTTATAGGTAAAAAGAGAGCTTGGTACAAAAGGATTAAAAATGGGGAGGTCACTTTAGAACAGGAATTCGTACAACTGGTTAGAAATGTTAAAAAAGAGATAAGGAAAGCAAAAAGAAACTATGAAGTTCGCATAGCAGGGCAAGCAAAGACAAATCCTAAAGGGTTTTTTCAGTTATATCGTACTAAGACTAGGGAAAGGATAGGTCCATTAAAAACTGAGACAGGTCAAATAACAGATAGTGATGAAGAGATGAGTAGTATTTTTAATAAATATTTTGTATCTGTATTTACTAAAGAGGAACTTAACAATATGCCTTCAGCCGAACAAGTCTATGTGGGTGGGGACGAGGACAGGTTGACGAGTTTAGCAGTTACCAGGGAGGATGTTCTTAAACAAATAGTAAAACTCAAACCAAACAAATCCCCAGGGCCGGATGAAGTGTTTGCTAGGGTGCTTAAAGAATGCAAAGAGGAGCTTTGTGACCCACTGTCAACCATATTTAATAAATCAATAGAGTCAGGCAGAGTGCCAGAGTTTTGGAAAGTTGCTAATGTGATACCAGTTTTTAAGAAAGGAGATAGATCACTTGCGTCTAACTATCGACCAATTAGCCTAACGTCTATTGTGGGAAAGTTACTCGAATCTATATTAGCAAATAAAATTCGTCTTCATCTTGAAAAATATAAATTAATAATTGAGTCGCAACATGGTTTTATAAATGGCCGTTCATGTTTAACAAATTTGTTATCTTTTTATTCTAGCATTGTTGAGGCAGTTGATAGTGGTAAGGATTGCGATGTTGTATACCTTGACTTTAGCAAAGCTTTTGATACAGTGCCACATGAAAGACTGATTAAAAAAATAGAGTCTCATGGTATTGGGGGTGCTATATTAAGCTGGATTAGGGCATGGCTATACCAAAGGAAACAGAGAGTTAGTATAAATGGAATCAAGTCAGAGTGGGAAAATGTTGTAAGTGGAGTGCCTCAAGGCTCTGTCCTGGGACCTCTGTTGTTTATAATATATATAAATGATTTAGATTCAGGTTTGAGTAGCAACATTTGCAAATTTGCCGATGATACGAAAATCGGTAGGGAAATTAATTCGGAGGAGGACTCACTATCACTTCAAGTTGATCTAGATAGGGTTTTGAAATGGTCAAAGGATTGGCAGATGCAGTTTAATGCTGATAAATGTAAAGTTCTGAGGTTAGGTAATGATGATAGAGTTACAAGATACGAGCTAGATGGTGTTGTGATTGCGAAGTCGGATTGCGAAAGGGATCTGGGAGTTATGATTAGTAAGAATTTAAAACAAAAGGATCAATGCATAAATGTTCGTAATAAGGGAAATCGGACACTTGGATTTATTAATCGCAGCGTTAGTAACAAGACACCTGGTGTGGTTCTCAAGCTATATCTTGCTCTAGTTAGGCCCCATTTAGATTATGCAGTTCAGTTTTGGTCGCCATATTATAGAATGGATATAAATTCACTTGAACGTGTCCAGCGTAGGATGACTAAGTTAATTCCCCAAATTAGAAATCTTTCATATGAAGAAAGATTAACAAAGCTTAAGTTGCATTCACTGGAAAGGCGAAGAGTTAGGGGTGACATGATAGAGGTTTACAAGTGGATGAATGGACATAACCGGGGGGATATTAATAGGGTATTAAAAGTATCAACACAGAACAGAACACGAAACAATGGATATAAATTGGATAAGTTTAGATTTAGGAAAGACTTGGGTAAATACTGGTTCAGTAACAGGGTTGTTGATTTGTGGAACCAATTGCCGCGTAACATTGTGGAGGTGGGGTCCCTCGATTGTTTCAAGCACGGGTTGGACAAGTATATGAGTGGGATTGGGTGGTTATAGAATAGGAGCTGCCTCGTATGGGCCAATAGGCCTTCTGCAGTTACCTTTGTTCTTATGTTCTTATGTTCTTATGTTCTTATGGCTATACCAAAGGAAACAGAGAGTTAGTATAAATGGAAACAAGTCAGAGTGGGAAAATGTTGTAAGTGGAGTGCCTCGAGGCTCTGTCCTGGGACCTCTGTTGTTTATAATATATATAAATGATTTAGATTCAGGTTTGAGTAGCAACATTTGCAAATTTGCCGATGATACGAAAATCGGTAGGGAAATTAATTCGGAGGAGGACTCACTATCACTTCAAGTTGATCTAGATAGGGTTTTGAAATGGTCAAAGGATTGGCAGATGCAGTTTAATGCTGATAAATGTAAAGTTCTGAGGTTAGGTAATGATGATAGAGTTACAAGATACGAGCTAGATGGTGTTGTGATTGCGAAGTCGGATTGCGAAAGGGATCTGGGAGTTATGATTAGTAAGAATTTAAAACAAAAGGATCAATGCATAAATGTTCGTAATAAGGCAAATCGGACACTTGGATTTATTAATCGCAGCGTTAGTAACAAGACACCTGGTGTGGTTCTCAAGCTATATCTTGCTCTAGTTAGGCCCCATTTAGATTATGCAGTTCAGTTTTCGTCGCCATATTATAGAATGGATATAAATTCACTTGAACGTGTCCAGCGTAGGATGACTAAGTTAATTCCCCAAATTAGAAATCTTTCATATGAAGAAAGATTAACAAAGCTTAAGTTGCATTCACTGGAAAGGCGAAGAGTTAGGGGTGACATGATAGAGGTTTACAAGTGGATGAATGGACATAACCGGGGGGATATTAATAGGGTATTAAAAGTATCAACACAGGACAGAACACGAAACAATGGATATAAATTGGATAAGTTTAGATTTAGGAAAGACTTGGGTAAATACTGGTTCAGTAACAGGGTTGTTGATTTGTGGAACCAATTGCCGCGTAACATTGTGGAGGTGGGGTCCCTCGATTGTTTCAAGCACGGGTTGGACAAGTATATGAGTGGGATTGGGTGGTTATAGAATAGGAGCTGCCTCGTATGGGCCAATAGGCCTTCTGCAGTTACCTTTGTTCTTATGTTCTTATGTTCTTATGTGGTTCTCAAGCTATATCTTGCTCTAGTTAGGCCCCATTTAGATTATGCAGTTCAGTTTTGGTCGCCATATTATAGAATGGATATAATTTCACTTGAACGTGTCCAGCGTAGGATGACTAAGTTAATTCCCCAAATTAGAAATCTTTCATATGAAGAAAGATTAACAAAGCTTAAGTTGCATTCACTGGAAAGGCGAAGAGTTAGGGGTGACATGATAGAGGTTTACAAGTGGGTGAATGGACATAAAGGGGATATTAATAGGGTATTAAAAGTATCAACACAAGGCAGAACACGAAACAATGGGTATAAATTGGATAAGTTTAGATTTAGGAAAGACTTGGGTAAATACTGGTTCAGTAACAGGGTTGTTGATTTGTGGAACCAATTGCCGCGTAACATTGTGGAGGTGGGGTCCCTCGATTGTTTCAAGCATGGGTTGGACTTGTATATGAGTGGGATTGGGTGGTTATAAATAGGAGCTGCCTCGTATGGGCCAACAGGCCTTCTGCAGTTGCCGTTGTTCTTATGTTCTTATGTTCTTATGTTGTAACTAACTAAATCATTATCTAGTCTCAAAACTTTACATTAAACTGCATCTTCCAATCTTTTGACCATTTTAAAACCCTAATTAGATCACCTTGAAGTGATAGTGAGTCTTCTTCCGTGTTAATTTCCCTGCTGTGGGATGACTAAGTTAATTCCCCAAATTATAAATCTTTCATATGAAGAAAGATTAACGAAGCTTAAATTGCATTCACTGGAAAGGCGAAGAGTTAGGGGAGACATGATAGAGGTTTACAAGGGGATGAATGGACATAACAAAGTTGATATTAATAGGGTATTAAAAGTATCAACACAAGACAGAACACGAAACAATTGGTATAAATTGTATAAGTTTAGATTTAGGAAAGACTTGGGTAAATACTGGTTCGGTAACAGGGTTGTTGATTTGTGGAACCAATTACCGCATAACGTGGTGGAGGTGGGGTCCCTTGATTGTTTCAAGCGTGGGTTGGACAAGTATGAGTGGGATTGAGTGGCTATAAATAGGAACGGCCTCGTATGGGCTAATAGGCCTTCTGCAGTTACCTTTGTTCTTATGTTCTTATGAGATGAAATATCTAGAGCATTTTGTGAAACAGTATTTGTGTCATGTATGACTTTAATTTTAATGGAATAAACTGGATTAACAAAACTGGGAATAAAGAAGTAGAAGATTTTCTAGAATTTAATGATGATTGTTTTCTTTTAAGAAAGACATTAAAGAACCTTGATCATATATGTGAATGGCATTGGGTGGATATACCTTGGAGCTGCCTCGTATGGGCCAATAGGCCTTCTGCAGTTTCCTTAATTCTTATGTTCACCTCACTTTCTTTATCCATCTCACCCGTCTCCTCACAAATCCCTATAAAAAGATTTGCATTATCACTCCATTACACATCGTGACAATCATCGAGGACTTGCCGTTACGACAAAATAATAGTATTTCATCTAAAACATCAGATTTAATCAACAACTCACAAATGTCTTCAGAAACTCTTGATAGCACTTGGGACATCAACGTGACTATTTACAACATCAAGGCTATTATGGAGCAGTTTGATCGAGCACTGGATCAACTCCAGCAGTTTGATGGAGCACAGGATGAACTCCAGCAGTTTGATCGAGCACTGGATCAACTCCAGCAGTTTGATGGAGCACAGGATCAACTCCAGCAGTTTGATCGAGCACAGAATCAACTCCAGCACTTTGATCGAGCACCGGATCAACTCCAGAAGTTTGATCGAGCACCGGATCAACTCCAGAAGTTTGATCGAGCAGAGGATCAACTCGAACAGTTTGAGCGAGCACCGGATCAACTCGAACAGTTTGACCGAGCAGCCGTCGAGCGCTTGGTGCTCGACGGCTGGACAAGATATGTCGGCTCCGGGACGTATGGAGTAGTGGTTATAGTAGGGTGGCAAGGAAGCCCTGCAGCTCTGAAAGTTGCGAAGTCGTCTTCGTATGCCGAAATTTTCATCAAAGAAGCCAACGTTTTGGAGTTGTTAAATGGAGCCGGAGGCGCTCCCCTCCTGCTTGGAGTGACAATCAAGCCTCCGGCGATCCTCACTAGCTACAAGGGTAACCAAACACTTGAAACAGTGTTAAAAATACGTCAGTACAACTTAATTGAAGTTGGATTACTGGTCGGTAGAAAATTACTGGAAATCCACAAGTTGGGAATCGTCCACAATGATTTAAAATGTGACAATGTTATGGTGCAAGGTCCGCCTCTCGAGCCAGAAGTCAGCCTGATTGATTTTGGGTTGGCCTGCAAGAATAATGAAAATTTGTTCTTGAATGGTGACCCAGAGATTTACGCCCCTGAAATCCTTCAGGAACATCGCAGCACGTATGCTTCCGACGTATATTCTTACGGTAAACTTATGCTGCAAATCCTGAAGGCGTCGCCCGCAGAAGACACATTACTGGAGCAGGTGTTCCAGGTAGCCACACACGACAACCCTGAGAAGCGTCCATCACTCCCTCACCTGCTGCGCCGTCTACAGGATCACATTAGCAAGATGTCCCTGGTTGTGAAAGAACGTTCTCAAAAGCATTCTTCTTGGAGTACAACTCCAGATTCCGTCAACTTCCAACTCAACATGGAAGAACAGCAACGCCCTAAAAGGCTCTGTCGGGGTCTTGGACGACGACTCAGCCCTAAAGCCGTCGACGTTCAAAACAGGAAGAAAAAGTGTCAACCTCTAAGAAGGAGTCAACGCCTAAAAGATAGATATCTGCGTCTTAATCTAGCAAGGAAAGTTACAAAGTTAACTACCCAATTTTAATTATGATCAAAAATTACATTTTCTATTTTTTTATCTATTGTAATTTGTGTAAATTATTGTAATTTTTATCTATTGTAATTTTTGTAAATTACATTTACAAAAGCTATCGACAATCCGAGGACCGTCAAGTTATAACACCCAGAAACGGCCCCAAAAATGAAGGCTTGGTGACAATTATTTACCTTTTTCTAATAAAGTATATTTTTATTATGTATTTGATTTTTATAATTCCTTAACTTGTCTGGTTTTGAGTGAGATTTTTTAGCTTTATGCCTACAAGGATCGAGCTTTTAGTTCTTGAACTGCGCCTTTGAACCTGTTGGTTGTCTCGTGTACTGACTCTCGGCCTAAGTCCTCGCACATTTAGAACATGCTCTGAAAGAAAAGTTCTGGAAGCCAACTCAATTCATAACTTTAAGGCTAGACTCAGCTAAGAATTCGATCGCGAGGCTAGTTAACTTATACATCAACAGGCACATAAAGAGCTAGACCTCAATTTCCGCGAAGTGACTTTTACTTATTCCTTGAGCACCCCCTCCCCCATCCTCCCCGTCTCCTCCCCCATCACAGACACCTGTCTATATGAACAAATCCACAAGAGTCGTGACGAGGATTCGAACCTACGTTCGGGAGCATCCTAGACGCTGCCTTAATCGACTGAGCAAGGACATGGTCAAAAGAGTTGAAACCAGAATTTCTACTGAACTTACTTGGATCCTGCAGCCTCTCTGAGACACAAACCAGGATTTTACACAAAAAGAGTGCATGGGAAGTTGTGTTCAAACCCTAAAGTAAAGGTACTCGTCCTCCATTCCTCACTCCTCCGTACTCTCATCCTCCCCACCATCTCCCACTCCCCCATCCTCCCTCCCTCGTTCTCCCCACCATCTCTACTCCCCTGTCCCCTTGTCCTCCCCACAATTCTCCATTCCCACTCCATACTGTCTCCTTGTCCTCCCCACCATCTCCCACTCCATACTGTCCCCTCTTACCCTGGGGAATTGTGTAAAATCCTGGTTTGTGTCTCGGAGAGACTGCAGGATCCGAGTAAGGTCAGTAGAACTTCCGGTTGCAATTCTTTTAACCATGTCGTAGCTCAGTCAATTAGGGAATCGTCTGGGATCTTAGCGGACGTTCGAACCCTCGTTCGTGACGAGGGGTTCGAACCCTCGTCACGGCCCTTGTGCATTTGTTCATATGATGAATCACGCTATTGGGATTTCTGTGTGTAATGAAGTAAGGGCGAAGAGGTAGATCAATAAATCTAAAATATTATTTTCCCACGATGACTCCTTATTGTGTTGCGTAAGATTCTTGCAGGCGTAAGATAGCAATCGTCAATTAATTCTATAAAAATCTTCTGCTTCATTATTCCCTATTTATAAACCAATATAAATGAATAAACCAATTTATTCCACTAAAATTAGTAACCCATGACACAAATATTGTTAGACCTTGTACTGTTAGACCAGATCAGTCCTGTTCAACCTGGTTATTGTTGTTTTAAACTTAGCTACTCAGAACGAACTGACCATGTAGCACGGGCTATGGTGAGCCCGTGAGGGGGTGGACGAGATCCTCATCTGCACGTGTCTGTATATTATACTAGAGATTATCTCTCCTATATATCTTAAAATACATACTACAAATACATATTTATCTATTGTAACATCGAGGTTGCCACCTCACAAGACCCCGATAGTACACCCACGCGAGGAACTGTCTCGCCATTGGTTGTCACAAATCACACGGCTGAGTTCCTGCTTTCAATTGGATGATTTTTTTCTTTTTATTTATAAAACACATAAATACAAAAGAAAAACAGTTACCAAAGCACCAGTACACAGTGAGACAAATAGCACACACATAACTCATAATAAAATTGAAACAACCAACACAAACACGTGATTAAACAACCCGTCCCCCAGCACAGAAGGAAAATTACAGTACTGACGAAAATAGGCGTACGATGGGGAACATAAATGAACACAACACAAGGGGAAAGCTTATATCCATCCACTTAAACATGTACAGAACCCATAAAACACTTGAAAACATTAGTGCCATTTAACCCAATGAAAACCTTTCCCAAAACACCCCACCAAACAACACAAATGGCCGGACACATAATACAAAAATAAGGACTAAATACAAAAATGCATAAACAGAAAGAAAAGCCTTATACAATAAGGACAATAAGCAGTTAACAATGTAATTCAGCGAAAATGCAAGGAAGCGCAGGCCCCTCAGAGAGTAAAGGAAGTACCTAAGCAAACCTTAGTTGTGGGAGATTCCCAGATAAGGTATTTGGATAGAACGTTTTGTGCTAGAGATAGGGGGAACAGGTTAAGGGTTTGCTATCCCGGAGCTGGCATTGGTGATATTATAAACAACATGAATGATATTATGGCTGGAAATGAGAACAATCCCATTATTTGCATTAGCGTGGGAGGAAATGATGTTGGTCGAGTTAGGAGTGAGGAACTGATTCAGAGGTATAAAACAGCCATAGAATTAGTTAGGAGCAAGGGAGGAATCCCGATCATATGTGGCATCCTTCCAAGAAAGGGAGTAGGAAATGAATGGATATCGAGGGGACTTGGTGTCAATTGCCGGCTGGAAAGATTTTGCAAATAAAATGCAATATCTTTCATAGACAACTGGGAACACTTCCATGGAAGAAATGAAATGTATGCTCGTGATGGGGTGCATCTATCGAGAGCTGGGGTTGTTGCTGTTGCGAACTCGTTGGAAGAAGTGGTTAGAGGTGTTTGTTTGGGTTTAAACTGTTAGTAGATACAGGTATGGGAATTGATTTGGAGGAAGGAGGTAATAAAAGTACGTGTTTGTGGGAGAAAGGAATTGGCAAAATGATCAGGGAAAGAGAAGGGACTCAAAATAACAATTCACTTTGGGTATATTACACTAACAGTAGAAGTCTAAGAAATAAAATTAACGAATTAAATGCTCTTGTCTGCACAGAAAAAATAGATATTATTGCACTTACCGAAACGTGGATGAATGTAGAAAATAGAGAACTATTAGCTGAATATCAAATAAATGGATTTAAACTATTTCACACAGATAGATATATTAGACGAGGAGGTGGAGTAGCCATATATGTTAGGGACAATTTGAAATGTAGTCTCAAAGAGGGAATCAAAACTGAGCCTCACACAGAAACTATTTGGATAGAATTAAACGAAAAAGCAAATAATATTATAATAAGAGTTATTTATAGGCCACCAAATTTAGACAGAATGGAAGCAAAGCATCTATGGGATGAAATATCTAGAGCATCTAGATCTAACAGTATTTACGTCATGGGTGACTTTAATTTTAGTGTAATAAACTGGTTGAACAAAACAGGGAATAGTGAAGCAGAAGATTTTCTAGAATTAATTGACGATTGCTTTCTTACGCAACACATTAAGGAACCAACACGGGAAAATAATATTTTAGATTTAGTGTTAACTAACAGGGAAACACAAATTAATGACATCGAAATAGGGAGTGAGCTAGGGAACAGTGATCACAAAGAAATCAGATTTAGCATAGAATGGAATAGACTTGTAGGAGAAAATTCTGTTAAAGTGCCAGATTTTCGAAAAGCTGATTTTAATAGCCTAAGAAATTTTTTGGGTCAAATTGATTGGAAAGTCTTGGGTATGGGGTGGGGGCCGGTCTTGGAGCGTGACATGAACTCAGGGATAGGTGATGTAAATGGGGATTTCGATGTGGATTCAATATATAACTTATTTAAGAATATTCTAAACAAAGCACAGGAACGTAGTATACCATACAAATTGAATAGATCGAATACTAATGACCCAAAGTGGATAACAAAGAATTTGAAGAACCTTGTAGGTAAAAAGAGAGCTTGGTACAAAAGGATTAAAAATGGGGAGGTCACTTTAGAACAGGAATTCGTACAACTGGTTAGAAATGTTAAAAAAGAGATAAGGAAAGCAAAAAGAAACTATGAAGTTCGCATAGCAGGGCAAGCAAAGACAAATCCTAAAGGGTTTTTTCAGTTATATCGTACTAAGACTAGGGAAAGGATAGGTCCATTAAAACTGAGACAGGTCAAATAACAGATAGTGATGAAGAGATGAGTAGTATTTTTAATAAATATTTTGTATCTGTATTTACTAAAGAGGAACTTAACAATATGCCTTCAGCCGAACAAGTCTATGTGGGTGGGGACGAGGACAGGTTGACGAGTTTAACAGTTACCAGGGAGGATGTTCTTAAACAAATAGTAAAACTCAAACCAAACAAATCCCCAGGGCCGGATGAAGTGTTTGCCAGGTTGCTTAAAGAATGCAAAGAGGAGCTTTGTGACCCACTGTCAACCATATTTAATAAATCAATAGAGTCAGATAGAGTGCCAGAGTTTTGGAAAGTTGCTAATGTGATACCAGTTTTTAAGAAAGGAGATAGATCACTTGCGTCTAACTATCGACCAATTAGCCTAACGTCTATTGTGGGAAAGTTACTCGAATCTATAATAGCAAATAAAATTCGTCTTCATCTTGAAAAACATAAATTAATAATTGAGTCGCAACATGGTTTTATAAATGGCCGTTCATGTTTAACAAATTTGTTAACTTTTTATTCTAGCATAGTTGAGGCAGTTGATAGTGGTAAGGATTGTGATGTTGTGTACCTTGACTTTAGCAAAGCTTTTGATACAGTGCCACATGAAAGACTGATTAAAAAGATAGAGTCTCATGGTATTGGGGGTGCTATATTAAGCTGGATTAGGGCATGGCTATACCAAATCAAACAGAGAATTAGTATAAATGGAGTCAAGTCAGAGTGGGAAAATGTTGTAAGTAGGGTGCCTCAGGGCTCTGTCCTGGGACCTCTGTTGTTTATAATATATATAAATGATTTAAGAACATAAGAACATAAGAACAAAGGTAACTGCAGAAGGCCTTTTGGCCCATACGAGGCAGCTCCTATTCTATAACCACCCAATCCCACTCATATACTTGTCCAACCCGTGCTTGAAACAATCGAGGGACCCCACCTCCACAATGTTACGCGGCAATTGGTTCCACAAATCAACAACCCTGTTACTGAACCAGTATTTACCCAAGTCTTTCCTAAATCTAAACTTATCCAATTTATATCCATTGTTTCGTGTTCTGTCCTGTGTTGATACTTTTAATACCCTATTAATATCCCCCCGGTTATGTCCATTCATCCACTTGTAAACCTCTATCATGTCACCCCTAACTCTTCGCCTTTCCAGTGAATGCAACTTAAGCTTTGTTAATCTTTCTTCATATGAAAGATTTCTAATTTGGGGAATTAACTTAGTCATCCTACGCTGGACACGTTCAAGTGAATTTATATCCATTCTATAATATGGCGACCAAAACTGAACTGCATAATCTAAATGGGGCCTAACTAGAGCAAGATATAGCTTGAGAACCACACCAGGTGTCTTGTTACTAACGCTGCGATTAATAAATCCAAGTGTCCGATTTGCCTTATTACGAACATTTATGCATTGATCCTTTTGTTTTAAATTCTTACTAATCATAACTCCCAGATCCCTTTCGCAATCCGACTTCGCAATCACAACACCATCTAGCTCGTATCTTGTAACTCTATCATCATTACCTAACCTCAGAACTTTACATTTATCAGCATTAAACTGCATCTGCCAATCCTTTGACCATTTCAAAACCCTATCTAGATCAACTTGAAGTGATAGTGAGTCCTCCTCCGAATTAATTTCCCTACCGATTTTCGTATCATCGGCAAATTTGCAAATGTTGCTACTCAAACCTGAATCTAAATCATTTATATATATTATAAACAACAGAGGTCCCAGGACAGAGCCTTGAGGCACTCCACTTACAACATTTTCCCACTCTGACTTGATTCCATTTATACTAACTCTCTGTTTCCTTTGGTATAGCCATGCCCTAATCCAGCTTAATATAGCACCCCCAATACCATGAGACTCTATTTTTTTAATCAGTCTTTCATGTGGCACTGTATCGAAAGCTTTGCTAAAGTCAAGGTATACAACATCGCAATCCTTACCACTATCAACTGCCTCAACAATGCTAGAATAAAAAGATAACAAATTTGTTAAACATGAACGGCCATTTATAAAACCATGTTGCGACTCAATTATTAATTTATGTTTTTCAAGATGAAGACGAATTTTATTTGCTATTATAGATTCGAGTAACTTTCCCACAATAGACGTTAGGCTAATTGGTCGATAGTTAGACGCAAGTGATCTATCTCCTTTCTTAAAAACTGGTATCACATTAGCAACTTTCCAAAACTCTGGCACTCTGCCTGACTCTATTGATTTATTAAATATGGTTGACAGTGGGTCACAAAGCTCCTCTTTGCATTCTTTAAGCACCCTAGCAAACACTTCATCCGGCCCTGGGGATTTGTTTGGTTTGAGTTTTACTATTTGTTTAAGAACATCCTCCCTGGTAACTGCTAAACTCGTCAACCTGTCCTCGTCCCCACCCACATAGACTTGTTCGGCTGAAGGCATATTGTTAAGTTCCTCTTTAGTAAATACAGATACAAAATATTTATTAAAAATACTACTCATCTCTTCATCACTATCTGTTATTTGACCTGTCTCAGTTTTTAATGGACCTATCCTTTCCCTAGTCTTAGTACGATATAACTGAAAAAACCCTTTAGGATTTGTCTTTGCTTGCCCTGCTATGCGAACTTCATAGTTTCTTTTTGCTTTCCTTATCTCTTTTTTAACATTTCTAACCAGTTGTACGAATTCCTGTTCTAAAGTGACCTCCCCATTTTTAATCCTTTTGTACCAAGCTCTCTTTTTACCTATAAGGTTCTTCAAATTCTTTGTTATCCACTTTGGGTCATTAGTATACGATCTATTCAATTTGTATGGTATACTACGTTCCTGTGCTTTGTTTAGAATATTTAGATTCAGGTTTGAGTAGCAACATTTGCAAATTTGCCGATGATACGAAAATCGGTAGGGAAATTAATTCGGAGGAGGACTCACTATCACTTCAAGCTGATCTAGATAGGGTTTTGAAATGGTCGAAGGATTGGCAGATGCAGTTTAATGCTGATAAATGTAAAGTTCTGAGGTTAGGTAATGATGATAGGGTTACAAGATACGAGCTAGATGGTGTTGAGATTGCTAAGTCGAATTGCGAAAGGGATCTGGGAGTTATGATTAGTAAGAATTTAAAACAAAAGGATCAATGCATAAATGTTCGTAATAAGGCAAATCGGACACTTGGATTTATTAATCGCAGCGTTAGTAACAAGACACCTGGTGTGGTTCTCAAGCTATATCTTGCTCTAGTTAGGCCCCATTTAGATTATGCAGTTCAGTTTTGGTCGCCATATTATAGAATAGATATAAATTCACTTGAACGTGTCCAGCGTAGGATGACTAAGTTAATTCCCCAAATTAGAAATATTTCATATGAAGAAAGATTAACAAAGCTTAAGTTGCATTCACTGGAAAGGCGAAGAGTTAGGGGTGACATGATAGAGGTTTACAAGCGGGTGAATGGACATAACAAAGGGGATATTAATAGGGTATTAAAAGTATCAACACAAGACAAAACACGAAACAATGGGTATAAATTGGATAAGTTTAGATTTAGGAAAGACTTGGGTAAATACTGGTTCAGTAACAGGGTTGTTGATTTGTGGAACCAATTGCCACGTAACATTGTGGAGGTGGGGTCCCTCTATTGTTTCAAGCGCGGGTTGGACATGTATATGAGTGGGATTGGGTGGTTATAAATAGGAGCTGCCTCGTATGGGCCAACAGGCCTTCTGCAGTTACCTTTGTTCTTATGTTCTTATGAGATGAAATATCTAGAGCATCTTGTCAAACAGTACTTGTGTCATGTATGACTTTAATTTTAGTGGAATAAACTGGATTAACAAAAACTGGGAATAAAGAAGTAGAAGATTTTCTAGAATTTAATGATGATTGTTTTCTTTTAAGAAAGACATTAAAGAACCTTCATCATATATGTGAATGGCATTGGGTGGATATACCTTGGAGCTGCCTCGTATGGGCCAATAGGCCTTCTGCAGTTTCCTTAATTCTTATGTTCACCTCACTTTCCTTATCCATCTCACCCGTCTCCTCACAAATCCCTATAAAAGGATTTGCATTATCACTCCATTACACATCGTGACAATCATCGAGGACTTGACGTTACGACAAAACCAATGTGGTTGGAGTTGAGCGCACTGAGCGTCGGTAGTTAGTAGTAATACTTTCGTTTGCTATTGTCTACAATGTTTGCTATTCTGCTGCTTATATGCTTTAGTATTTCATCTAAAACATCAGATTTAATCAACAACTCACAAATGTCTTCAGAAACTCTTGATAGCACTTGGGACATCAACGTGACTATTTACAACATCAAGGCTATTATGGAGCAGTTTGATCGAGCACAGGATCAACTCCAGCAGTTTGATCGAGCACAGGATCAACTCCAGCAGTTTGATCGAGCACAGGATCAACTCCAGCAGTTTGATCGAGCACAGGATCAACTCCAGCAGTTTGATCGAGCACAGGATCAACTCCAGCAGTTTGATCGAGCACAGGATCAACTCGAACAGTTTGATCGAGCACAGGATCAACTCGAACAGTTTGATCGAGCACAGGATCAACTCGAACAGTTTGATCGAGCACAGGATCAACTCGAACCGTTTGAGCGAGCACAGGATCAACTCGAACAGTTTGAGCGAGCACCGGATCAACTCGAGCAGTTTGACCGAGCAGCCGTCGAGCTCTTGGTGAAAGACAGGACAAGATATGTCGGCTCCGGGACGTTTGGAGTAGTGGTTATAGTAGGGTGGCAAGGAAGCCCTGCAGCTCTGAAAGTTGCGAAGTCGCCTTCGTATGCTGAATTTTTCATCAAAGAAGCCAACGTTTTGGAGTTATTAAATGGAGCCGGAGGCGCTCCCCTCCTGCTTGGAGTGACAATCAAGCCTCCGGCGATCCTCACCAGCTACAAGGGTAACCAAACACTTGAAACAGTGTTAAAAATACGTCAGTACAACTTAATTGAAGTTGGATTACTGGTCGGTAGAAAATTACTGGAAATCCACAAGTTGGGAATCGTCCACAATGATTTAAAGTGTGACAATGTTATGGTGCAAGGTCCGCCTCTCGAGCCAGAAGTCAGCCTGATTGATTTTGGGTTGGCCGGCAAGAATAATGAAAATTTGTTCTTGAGTGGTGACCCAGACATTTACGCCCCTGAAATCCTTCAGGAACATCGCAGCACGTATGCTTCCGACGTATATTCTTACGGTAAACTTATGCTGCAAATCCTGAAGGCGTCGCCCGCAGAAGACACATTACTGGAGCAGGTGTTCCAGGTAGCCACACACGACAACCCTGAGAAGCGTCCATCACTCCCTCACCTTCTGCGCCGTCTACAGGATCACATTAGCAAGATGTCCCTGGTTGTGAAAGAACGTTCTCAAAAGCGTTCTTCTAGGAGTTCAACTCCAGATTCCGTCAACTTCCAACTCAACATGGAAGAACAACAACGCCCTAAAAGGCTCTGTCGGGGTCTTGGACGACGACTCAGCCCTAAAGCCGTCGACGTTCAAAACAGGAAGAAAAAGAGTCAACCTCTAAGAAGGAGTCAACGCCTAAAGGATAGCTATCTGCGTCTTAATCTAGCAAGGAAAGTTACAAAGTTAACTACCCAATTTTAATTATGGTCAAAAATTACATTGTCTATTTTTTACCTATTGTAATTTTTGTAAATTATTGTAATTTTTATCTATTGTAATTTTTGTAAATTACATTTACAAAAGCTATCGACAATCCGAGGACCGTCAAGTTATAACACCCAGAAACGGCCCCAAAAATGAAGGCTTGGTGACAATTATTTACCTTTTTCTAATAAAGTATATTTTTATTATGTATTTGGTTTTTATAATTCCTTAACTTGTCTGGTTTTGAGTGAGATTTTTAGCTTTATGCCTACAAGGATCGAGCTTTTAGTTCTTGAACTGCGCCTTTGAACCTGTTGGTTGTCTTGTGTACTGACTAGAATGGATATAAATTCACTTGAACTCTGAAAGAAGTTTTTAAAGCACCTCCATTCATGCCTTTAAGGCTAGACTCAGCTAAGAATTCGATCGCGAGGCTAGTTAACTTATACATCAACAGGCACATAAAGAGCTAGACCTCAATTTCCACGAAGTGACTTTTACTTATTCCTTGAGCACCCCCTCCCCATCACAGACACCTGTCTATATGAACAAATCCACAAGAGCCGTGACGAGGATTCGAGCCTACGTTCGGAAGCATATTAGACGCTGCCTTAATCGACTGAGCAAGGACATGGTCAAAAGAGTTGAAACCAGAAGTTCTACTGAACTTACTTGGATCCTGCAGCCTCTCTGAGACACAAACCAGGATTTTACACAAAAAGAGTGCATGGGAAGTTGTGTTCAAACCCTAAAGTCAAGGTACTCGTCCTCCAAACCATTCCTCACTCCACCGTACTCTCATCCTCCCCACCATCTCCCACTCCCCCATCCTCCCTCCCTCGTTCTCCCCACCATCTCTACTCCCCTGTCCCCTTGTCCTCCCCACAATTCTCCATTCCCACTCCATACTGTCTCCTTGTCCTCCCCACCATCTCCCACTCCCCCCTCCCTCGTCCTCCCCTGTCCCCTTGTCCTCCCCACAATTCTCCATTCCCACTCCATACTGTCTCCTTGTCCTCCCCACCATCTCCCACTCCATACTGTCCCCTCTTACCCTGGGGAATTGTGTAAAATCCTGGTTTGTGTCTCGGAGAGACTGCAGGATCCGAGTAAGGTCAGTAGAACTTCCGGTTGCAATTCTTTTAACCATGTCGTAGCTCAGTCAATTAAGGAATCGTCTGGGATCTTATCGGACGTAGGTTCGAACCCTCGTCACGGCCCTTGTTGCATTTGTTCATATGACAAATTGGCTATTGGGATTTCTGTGTGTAATGAAATAAGGGCGAAGAGGTAGATCAATAAATCTAAAATATTATTTTCCCACGAAGACTCCTTAATGTGTTGCGTAAGATTCTTGCAGGCGTAAGATAGCAATCGTCAATTAATTCTATAAAAATCTTCTGCTTCATTATTCCCTATTCTGTTAAACCAATTTATTCCACTAAAATTAGTAACCCATGACACAAATATTGTTAGACCTTGTACTGTTAGACCAGATCAGTACTGTTCTTCTTCTTCTTGAGAATAGGCGCAGTTTGCATGAAGGGGTAACCCTCCCGATGACTGCACCAGGACAGATGTAAGGAGACGCGTTGACGGTCAGGAGGAGAAGAAAGTCAAAAGCGGTAGATGTGATGGGCCGTAGAGAGAGGAGTGGCGACGAAAACAGAGGCGAACGTTAGAGGGAGACTCCCCGCACCGGGGGGCGGGGCGTCGTGATCACGGTGGCAGCTGACCCACGCACGGCTTAGCAGCGTGCGCAAGACGGGAACTAATACTTCTCCGGAAACTTGTGTATCGGAAAGCGCAAGCAGTACGCTTCCCATATCACCCGCAGGTCAGCGGGCAGCCGGCCACCAGGCGGCGCCCTCGGCTGAGACATCCTATCCGGCACCCTATACACAAACTCCTTCACCCGCGACACCCAGACAGTGGACGAGCACCACGGGATCGGAAGCACCCGGGCATCCCGATAAGGGCCCAACTCCGGACCCTCACAGGGCACGACCCCAGCAGACGGGACTAGGCAATCCCCAGACTGGAGCAAGGAAGGAGGGGATACAGCAGGGGACGCAGGCGCGGCACCGACCCCACCACCGGGCACAGGAGCCGAGGCCCTCTGGCGCACATCTTTCCGCAACATCACGACGAGGTCCCGATCAGCAGGGACAACCCCCCACTGCGGAGATCCAACAGCAGGAGACGCAGGAGGAGAGGCACAGGTAGCAACGTCGGAGCCCCTCACAGCACCACCATTCTCGGCGGGGGGCGCCAGATTACCATACTCCCCCACCTCCTCCCAAGGCACACCACGAAGGGGAGACACACTCCGAGCCCGTCGTGAACGCTTCGAGACAGGCCTCACCACACCACGCCCAGCAGGCCCCGCCGCAGGCACGGCCACCATCTTTACATCCACACAGGCCACACCCGCACCGTCCGAAGAGTCCACAGAGGCCACATCACCCACACTGTCCACATCATCCAGGGAAACAGCCTCAGAACACCGACGCGCACGCTTCTGCAAAGTGACGGAAAGAGCAGAACTACACTCACCAACACACACAGACACGGCAGGCACCTCCCCCTGCCGAAGCACCCCCTCTAAAACAGCAGAACCCGCGTTCCCGGGAGCCGGTATCACATCCACAGGCGGGGGCGGGACATGGACCTCCACCGAGACATCCTGCACGACACGCAGCTCAGGCGACGGCCCGACACCCACACACACCGGCTCAACAACCCCAGGGGCCATAGCAGTCACCTGACGTGTCGCCGTAGAACTCGCCCCAACAGGCGGAGCAGCAGACAGGCAATCAGGCGCCTCAGGCACAGCACCTACTCCATCCTCAGAACCGTCCGAACGTAACAAGGGCGGGAAATCCTCTGCACGAAAAACATGCACCCTACCAGTTGCACCCACGTCGCACGCCGCAGCCAGGTGACCCTCGTGACCACACCGATAACAGGTGCGCGGTTGACCCCGGTACAAGCAGCGGAGCGTGTAACCCAACACGGACATCGACGACGGTACACTACACTTCAGCGACATCGTCAGGGTGCGGGAGCCGTCAAGCATACCAACACAGTGCCCGGCAACGACCTTGTTCCAACGAACACTTAACACGGTCCCAAATCGCTCAAAACAGGAGGTTAAAAAGTCGTCCTGAAATTCGAAGGGGGCACCATGCACCGCCACAGACGTCAAGGTGACACTAAGATTCACCACCTTAACTGAGCCAGCTGAATCAGGGAGTGGGTAAACACGCCCCTCACAACGCTCGAGAAACACCTGAAAGGCAGCCTGGAGGCGGAACTTTACCACAGCACGGTTGCCCTGAAGCAGCTGGACGCCCACCAGGTCCGACAGCTGCACATGAAGCACGTCCACCAGGGCGACACCAACCAATGGATGGTCCACCGGCACCGTAAACGCTAGACCAGCCGACAATGTCCTCTGCACTGGAGGGCGAGATGACCCCATGGCGAAGGCAAACGTCACCCTGTCAGTGGCAAACCACCACCAGCAGGGCAAACAAGCCCTGCTGGTGGCAGGGCTTGAAATCACCCAACGTAAACACTAGCCAGTGCGGAGAGACCTCAGGAGCGTCCGACCTGGCCGGTGGTCACCACGCAACCCCAGTACTGTTCAACCTGGTTATTGTTGTTTTAAACTTAGCTACTCAGAACGAACTGACCATGTAGCACGGGCTATGGTGAGCCCGTGAGGGGGTGGACGAGATCCTCATCTGCACGTGTCTGTATATTATACTAGAGATTCTCTCTCCTATATTTCTTAAAATACATACTACAAATACATATTTACCTATTGTAACATCGAGGTTGCCACCTCACAAGACCCCGATAGTACACCCGCGCGAGGAACTGTCTCGCCATTGGTTGCCACAAATCACACGGCTGATCCCTGCTTTCAATTGGATGATTTTTTTCTTTTTATTTATAAAACACATAAATACAAAAGAAAAACAGTTACCAAAGCACCAGTACACAGTGAGACAAATAGCACACACATAACTCATAATAAAATTGAAACAACCAACACAAACACGTGATTAAACAACCCGTCCCCCAGCACAGAAGGAAAATTACAGTACTGACGAAAATAGGCGTACGATGGGGAACATAAATGAACACAACACAAGGGGAAAGCTTATATCCATCCACTTAAACATGTACAGAACCCATAAAACACTTGAAAACATTAGTGCCATTTAACCCAATGAAAACCTTTCCCAAAACACCCCACCAAACAACACAAATGGCCGGACACATAATACAAAAACGCATAAACAGAAAGAAAAGCTTTATACAATAAGGACAATAAGCAGTTAACAATGTAATTCAGCGAAAATGCAACGAAGAGCAAGGAAGCGCAGGCCCCTCAGAGAGTAAAGGGAGTACCTAAGCAAACCTTAGTTGTGGGAGATTCCCAGATAAGGTATTTGGATAGAACGTTTTGTGCTAGAGATAGGGGGAACAGGTTAAGGGTTTGCTATCCCGGAGCTGGCATTGGTGATATTATAAACAACATGAATGATATTATGGCTGGAAATGGGAACAATCCCATTATTTGCATTAGCGTGGGAGGAAATGATGTTGGTCGAGTTAGGAGTGAGGAACTGATTCAGAGGTATAAAACAGCCATAGAATTAGTTAGGAGCAAGGGAGGAATCCCGATCATATGTGGCATTCTTCCAAGAAAGGGAGTGGGAAATGAATGGATATCGAGGGGACTTGGTGTCAATTGCCGGCTGGAAAGATATTGCAAATCAAATGCAATATCTTTCATAGACAACTGGGAACACTTCCATGGAAGAAATGAAATGTATGCTCGTGATGGGGTGCATCTATCGAGAGCAAGGGTTGTTGCTGTTGCGAACTCGTTGGAAGAAGAACTCGTTGGAAGAAGTGGTTAGAGGTGTTTGTTTGGGTTTAAACTGTTAGTAGATAGAGGTATGGGAATTGATTTGGAGGAA